ATGTATGCAATTTTTCCTCAGGTCATCTATCTTCTTCTAAAGCTGTACAGTCTACATCAAGGCTACCCCTACCCATCATCCTATAATTAAGTTTGCCTTTAAAAATGTTGAATCTATAGATAATGGTTCATTTCAGGCTAAATGTAACTTTTGTAAATTTGGTGGGGGAATTGTAAAGTTCAGTACAAAAAGTTACAGTAATTTGACTTGACACCTAAAGCGTCAGCACTTGAGTTGCAGCGTCAGCGAGAGGTTGCAGGATGACCTATCGTCAATCTACGATTGGACCCTAGTGAACAATATGCAGTTCAACGGCACCAAGTTCGAAGTAATGAGACACAGAGTCAGCACAGAGATCGGGATGCCACATCGCTACTTAGCATCAGATGGCACAGAAATTGAGGAGAAGCAACTAGTTCTCGGAGTGTTGATGAGTACTGAAGCCACGCTCGATGCCCATATCGAGGAAATAATCGCGCGCAGGCGGCAGCGGATGGGGTGGATATGGCGGACATTTCGAACGAGAGAAGCAGCACCAATGATTACACTCTTCTGAGCCCTCGTGCTCCCCAATCTTGAGTATTGTTGCCAACTTTAGACGCCACTCAAGGCGGGTGCGGTGCGGAAACTGGAGGCAGTGCAGCGGACCTTCACGTACAGGATCAGCGGCATGAGGGAGCTGAACCTGAACTACTGGGGAAGGCAGAAACACCTGGAACTGTACTCACTGGAGAGAAGAAGGGAAAGGTATATCATACTGTACACTTGGAAGATGATAAACGGACTGGCTCCCAACTTTGAGAGTGAGACCTCCAAAATAAGGACATATTACAACGAAAGAAGGGGGAGAACCTCCCCCCGGAGCGCCATAAGGACCTCTCTTGTCAGAATTCCACCATGGCGGGTGTGTATTCTTAATTTATCAACAATATCTGAAGCTACTGTCTTTATTAGTTTATTGTCTAGCCTCAAACAAAAATCCAAAAAGATTTATTGAAATTATTAGCCGGCAAATAAAAACATGTGCAATGTTGTTAATAAATGGAGAAGTGAGAACGTGAAAAGAAGTATCAAAATTGAAAACTTGGCATAAATTGACATAAAAAATAAGGAATAGGTAGAAATTTACTCGCTTGGTTAAAATAGGATTTGCTGTAGAGAAGGTTTCTCCCGGCCATCGTCTGATCGTTTATTTCGTCATCTTCTGATCGTTTATTTCGTCATCGTCAGAGCGGAGAGGCCGCCAATGTGAATAATGGCTCTTCACCAATCATGATGTGCAACTGCAAGTAGATGGCGACCGTGGCTGTTTAATGTCCCACTTATTTCTTTTCAGTACGACCAAATCGTTTCAAAACTTCTACATAACATAACATAACATAGTGGTGTCGGCGCTGAAGCGTAGGCCTGATGTGGCCTGTCGCCGATTCTCTTCCTTTTCGTTCACAGAAAATTTAAAATCGTGTCATTTGACCGGATCTTTTCATGACTGACGATAGTTTGAAGTAGCTACTAGACTTCCACCGGGTTCGATAAGGAGCTAGGCATTTCAAATCTGAACATATATACGTATATTTTTTACATGATTAGACAAAGATCATGATTAGACAAAGATTAGACATGATCATGATTTTTTTACATGATTAAACAAAGACTATTTCAAGATACTGACGTTTTAGGGGGAATTTTGAAGAGGTAAAAATTTTTATAAATACTCTCAAAAATGACACTAAAACAACCTGACACACGTGATTGTTTACGTTTTGCGATCTCAGTGACGTCATAGGCGGAACACTAAACTCCATCCGCAAAGCTGAGCTTCTTGTGGGTCAACCTTCTACTAGTTGGGTGGATAGCTAGAGGTCAGCAAAGCCCAAGTCCACAGTGCGATTCATATGCCTTCCCGAGCGTAACGCAGCCGGGCATCTTCACGGCTTTCGACAGAGCGTCCACCACAACAGCGCCGTTCAGTCACAGGCACTGCTTCACAGCGCCGGAGCATAACTGGCCGGAGCGCAACAGGCCCTACCACAACAGGCTACTCCTAACGTAACCTAACCTGCGCCGGCGCCTGCTGCGGTAGGGCCTTTGCGCTCCGGCGCTGTGAAGCAGTGGCTGTGTTGTGCACAGCGGATTTACTGTTAGCCGGAGTTACCCACAGCTCATTGATCTGAGGCTATTTGTAGATATTGCATGCTGATGAATGGCGTTGGGCCCAGGGCCTGTTTACGAGTCAATTTTGTTACCCACGGCTGCGCTCCCCTACTAGTTCAACCGGGTACGCAGCCGTGCACCACCAAATTTGTGCACCAATCAGCCTTGAAAGGAACGCCTAGCATATTTCCGGATGACCACCAATCAGCCGCGGATTAAGCCAACCGTCGGTAACCAGCCCGTGACATCATCTTGCTTTAAATATTAGGAGCTTTGCGCACCATATTTTGAAGCGAATAGCCCAGAAAGTAATGGTTATGCACCACTGAACGTTGCATCGAATCATCACTTCATACCCTGACTTTAGCTCCAATTGTAACTTGCGGACAACGGACAGTGACCAACCAGCCCAGGTCGCCAGTGGAACTGTGTGCATCCTGCCGTGCACCACCAGACCGTCACTTTAAGCTCACAGCATTGGGGTTAGGTTTCAGAAAGCATTATTCTGTTCCAAAATCTATCGTCCTTCGACGAGCGACTTCTACAGCTTCGCTAAATTACGTAACTTTTCGCTCACAGCATCTGGGGTTAGGTTCCAGATAGCATAGTTCTGTTCCAAAATTTATCGTCGTACGACGCGTGGCCGTTCGACCGTGGGCTGGTTCGACACACGGGACAGATACGGACGGCTCCGGCGCGCTCCGTCCGGGTGGTGTAAATTTTTTTCGCGTGTTGGCAGACGACGCTGGGCCATACGACGCCAGGCTTATTTTCCTGTGGGCTGATTGATCTAATTCAATGGATGTGATCTGTCTGGTGGCGTGCGGCTGATAACGCTACAGTCAAGATGTGTTGTAGGCTACGTTCTTCAGGGAAGGTATCATGATAGTCCATTCGAAGCACGGCAGTGGTGGTCTCCGACAGTCGTCCCTCGTCAATACGTCTAGTCTTTGCTCGTCAATACGAGACACATTGAGGCGAGGCTCTATCGACTGTCTGGGCTAAGTCTACGAAGTTCCGTTAATTTTCCCGGACAATAACGAGACTTCGGGTCAAAGGGACGACAGCTGTAGCTTCGTCAGCTTATGAGCTGAACAACGGCTGTAATGGGACAGCTTATAGCTGTAAATATCGAAGCCTACAGCTACAGTATATATCGACTGACCAAAACAGTCCGGTCGATCACGACGGCAGCTGTTATACGTTCTTCTCAGCTGGATCACGTTGTGAAGCTGTACAAAAGCGGCTTTTATTTTTCATTGCAAAATATAACTAAAGGTCAATACGTGTTATAGCGAGCACGAAATTCAAGCAGAGCATGAAGGAAAAATGATGAACGAACTTTCATTTCCTTCCATGTTTGGCAGAACCTAAATGTGCTACCAAAATGTAGGCAGAAAACAAAGCAATAAGCTAAGCGGGAACAACAATTGAGTTTTCCACACTTGAGCCGCAACTACGTTGCTTGGTTGCTAGGGGCCTTCCGCTAGGGGCGCTTCCATCGCTGATATTTTAAGAGAGCATTTTCTTTTGCCAAAATAGAGCAATGAGTTGCGTGTTTGAGACGTGCTAAAAGTTGTAAATATTTCGGCGATGCCAAAAATTGGCGACAGGTCTGATGGGCTAATGAACGCTAACACCGATCTGCTTGCATCTTTACATTACTTGACGTTATAAATTATACATTCTGCACATCTCTACTTTTGGTTTTCTTGTGCATATTTCTACTGCTAAATTCATCTTTGTTTAAATAATACAGCCAAGGACTCAAACTAATTCTGATTATTGTGATGAAAGTCTACAGTCCTAAGAAAGTAACGAGGATAACAAGAAAAAATCCAATATAAATGGAATTAGATAAAAAAAATCATGTTATTTTAACTGCTAATGGTTTAGTTCAGTCATTATTATATTAAACGATCAGGAACGATTTATTTGCAAATAAAAGAGCATGAATTTTATAAATCATAACATGAAAAACCTATATAATGAAGTGTGTGTATATAAATTGACCTTGTGACGGACATGCAAACATTTAACCTCGTCCTTGCACGTATGTTAAGAAAACCTGAAAAAATATTATTCAGCTCCAGGTCTTGTTGCAACCGATCGCAATTTACACGAAATAATTGACACTTCATGGCGTCAGACAATCAGGATCAGACCATGTCACAATGACATGTATGGTAACTTGCCTGTGAAGGGGTTGAATAAAAATGTAATATTGTATCATTGTTGAACAACATAAAACACATTATTTTCATTTTTAATGTATGCAATTTTTTCTCAGGTCATCCTTCTTCTAAAGCTGTAGTCTACATCATGGCTACACCTACTCATCATCCTATAATTAAGTTTGCCTTTAAAAATGTAGTTTTTTTGCCTACAATACATGAATCACAAAGACTAGATTAGTTTCTCGACTGAAACAGATCCTTACCCAAGGGATCCTAAAAATTCTCCCCTAATCAATTCCTGAATGTTCTTTACTCTATTATTGTGCTAAAAACCTTCAAGGCAAATTATGTTTAATCATCAAAAAAGTTTGGTGATGCTGGCAGCAATCCTAATCCTAAATCAAATTACCTTGTGCATTGAGAATGTATATTGGCACACGACAATTGTAAATGCACATAATTGCCCTGCATAGAAGAGGAAGCGTAAAAAAGGTGAATAAAAATTCAGAAAGATTAACTTACAGGTAAGCATATTTTTAATATTGTAAAGCTACATGGAATATAGCTTTTAATATTTCAATATAAGCACAAATAAAATAGGGTTGACTTCCAGAAAGTAGAGCTGCTGGACGCATAATATTTGCTTCTGCTACTTAGAATAGAATAGAAGTGTCGGCGTTGAAGAAATAGGCCCATGGCCTGTTGCGCTTTGTGGCTTTTTTGTTGCGCTTTACTTGGCTTTGTGACGCAGGAAATTGGAGATCATTGAAAATTAGTCAACAGAGTTTTTTCCCCAAAAATATTGAGAGCTTCAAATATGTGTAAAAAATTCCCATTAAAGTTTGATCGGTCAACTTACCCCAGAATGACATAAAAGAACATAACATAATCTTTACACACACAAGAGATACATGGTCATTGTTAAAAAATTCGAGTAGTCCTTTTTGGGACCCTTATTTCAGCATCCAGCTCTCTCAGCAGCACAGCTCCTATTATCACTAAATTAGTTTCAACACCAATAACCTTCCTATGAGGTGACGTGATGGAAAAGGAGGTAATTATCGCCTCGTCTTGCCGTTGCAAAGTTGTCATTACCTTCAAGGAACAAAGCCCTGAAGTCCTTGAGCATCACTGAAAATGTTGCCTTGTCATCATCCTCGCTCTCACCAATTATCTTGATGACTTGGTTGTAGAAGAGCTCTCGTTCTAAACCCTTTGTGAAACTCTCATCTTCTGGATTGAAACTGTCCAGCTTGCGCCCTAAATCCTTCTCCATTTCATCCCAGTTAGCCAAATAATACTCCATATTGCAGGACAGCGTCACAGTCAGCAGTTTCAGAGCCTCTTCAAAAGGAATTTTTTCAATGGTCTCCACTGGCTCGTTTGGATCAAATGATGAATCACCATGCCATACATGTGAGTAAAGATAATCTAATTTCTCCCTCGACTCAAAATAACGTGAGGGCATGAACATCAGTGCGCAGTAATAGTCCCCAAAACTTGAGGCTTTCAGCTTCGGGTTTAAAACTTCATTCTTGTACCACATTTCCTGCTCCTGGAGATATTTGAGCACATCTAAATTAAATCCATCCTTGTTCACATAAGTTTTGTCATCGGTGTCTATTCCCATTACCATTGGTGCCAAAGCAAGAGAGAGAGTGCGATTTTCCAGCTTCTGCTGGACATCACTATAGAAGCTGGTCAGTGTCCGGGTGGCCAATGTGTGCAGTGGCGTCCTGCAAATGAAAGAGATGGTCAATCTATAGACAATACATATTAAATATTTCTGTCATATATAGAGACAAAATAATAAAGGAAACTATACTTGGATATTAATGTCAAATCAATATATCTGGTTGCAACTGCCTAGTCCTAACCCTTCCCAGCTGGAAAAGAATATCCCATTCTTATCTAAATTTTGCAAGAATTCAGGAATAAGGAATCAAAAATTCTTCTTAAGCAAATATAAGCTTCTGGTTTTGTTTGCCTCAGAAATACCTGTAATGGAAGTCATTTTATCTATTATTCTCATATACATTGCCAGGTTCAACATATTTAACATTTAACCACAACATAGTAACATTTAACTCTTTCATGGGCAAGTTTCCATTTGTGGTCACTTGAAATCGACACACCAAGAGACCCACCATGACTTCTGGTTTGTGTTTGAGGCGTCTTTATCATGCCTCAGTCAATCAACCGACTATCGTTCCATCCCTAGCATCACCATGTAAAATGCCCTAGCATACCATGTAATTGTAAAGTTTGCCTCGGACAATGAAATTGACGCTTTTCCGCATTTTTCCAAAAGAGTGATGTATTAATATATATTTAATTATTTAAGATAACCTGATTAAATTAAATTTAATTGTTATTTTATTAATTTTTTCACTTGCATATAATTATTTATATTTTGTATAGCAACCACATTCAATAAATTCTTCAAGTGTGATTTAAACCTCCAATTAGCAAAATTTTTAAAAATAGATACAAATAGATATTTCATATAATACTTCTTACTTTCTTGAACTGGCTTCTGAAATTTTGATTCCTGAATATTTCAATGCTTGCCCGCTAAAGGGTTAAGCATATTTGCTTCAAACTCATCCCATCAAAACATTTCAAACAAGAGAAAACTTCTATCTCACCCAAGGACTCCAAGTAGCTTCTTAGACACAGCTGCAAGCTCACTCTGCAGGGCTGTAAGATACATAGCCAAACGGTCACAGTATTTTCAATGCTCCCAGTATCTTGCTTCCAACAGCCACTTCTAGAAGGAATTCACAGAAAATTGATCAAGATATATTATTGATCAATTATTGATCAATATATATTAAAGTATATATATTATTAAAAAGTAGGGTTATTGTGCAACACGTTTGTTGAGAGTTACCAAAAACAGTGTTGCGGTATTGTTCGATCGAAACATCTCTCATACTTTTGACAATAGAGCAACATTTTTGGCATATTGTGCGACAAAATGTTGCACAATTACTGTCTCGGAATGTACCAATGTCATAGAATCTACTTATGATTAGTATTTGCCAATAGTGCAACACGAAAAAAGATGAACGCTATTATGCGACATGCTAATTAACAAAAATCTTGTTAGGTTAGGGTTAGTAGAGGTGTGAAAAACGTTTTTTTAGACACTTTTTTACAATTTTACTAAGGTTAGGTACAACCAGGAAAGGTTCTTTTACCTTAAATAACTACTTGAAAAATGTCAACTAATAACTGTCGCAGTATTATATAAGAATTTAGAACAATTACCAGACAAAATTGGTAACATTACCAGACATCGGGTACAAAACCGGACAAAATCAAGTCCGGTAATTACCTCTGCAATTAGTTTGTACTTTGTACTTAAAAACCGGACACGAAAATAAATGAACTACGTTTACCGGACACCAAAAAATGCCAACCTCGATAGGTTAGGGCTAGGTGTGTCTAAAACCCTTCTTTAGGTTGCTATAGATCATGATACTGAGGTTAGGTCCAGCCAGGTCAAGTTTTTTTTATATTTTTTTTGCAATTTAGAAAAAAATTAAAGTCCGGTAAAGTAGAATTACTGTCTCTTATACACATCTAGATGTGTATAAGAGACAGGGTGAGTACCGTGAGAACTACCACGGCGGGTGAGTCTCTACCGTGAGAACTAGCACGGCGTGTGAGTCTTTGCCGTGAGAACTACCACGGCGTGTGAGTCTTTGCCGTGAGAACTACCACGGCGGGTGAGTCTCTACCGTAAGAACTACCACGGCGGNATGATTTTAGAGCGCGCAGGTCCTCGATTAAGAATGCGTTTAACGACTCCTACAATCCTATAAATTTAGGGCCCAATGCAAGGGGATCAAGAAAAAAGCTTTATATTTAGTTTTAAGAATGTGTATTCTCAGGAAGTTCTATTTAATATTAAAAGTATTTAAGAGTATGAGACTGCACCTGTCTCTTATACACATCTAGATGTGTATAAGAGACAGCTGTTGCCCCTGTATATATTCAAACAGAAGCCTAGTAAGCCACTTTTAGTTCTTTTCATGTTAAAATAGTAAATAGATAAGGCCATTTACAAGCGTTAGTTTCAAGTCTTATTTATTTGTTTTCACATTTTGGAACCTCACAGTGACAGTGCAGTTTAGTTTATTAATAGTTTGTATTTCTGTTTCTGGGACTGAAATTCTTCTGAACAGAATTTTGTGCTACCTATCAGTATCACTGGCTTCACTGCTATGAACTGACAATGGAGCTGGACTCCAAAACATTTTCTCTTATAAAGAGTTTGTGAATTTTTGTGGTATTGTCTTTGCTTTTAAATTCTTAGTCACCTTTCGATTCAAGCAAACAAGTGATTTTAATAGCTTTTGTCATTTACTTCTTAGGTACAATTATTTTTTGTAATTTATTTCTAAAAACATTTTTAGTTCATTGGTGCCTTGATTGCCTTCTACCATGTATTGTATATCACACAGAGAATATTCTCATTCATATTAATTGTGAGGTTTTTTCACCAGAAATTTTCGCACAGGCACATACCTAGTCTTGCCAACATTTAAACCTGTAAAGCCATTTCCAAAACTTAACAAACTAGGTAGCCTAGTTAATTCAAAAGTTACTGCCTACTGGTATAGTCAGTATTATGAAATGAGATAATTTTTTATTTCCTGAAAAAGGTTGACGTTTGACACGTGACTTCTCAAGTAGGTAATTAAATTTATTTTAATCCATCATAATTCATACACATACTCACATAGCAGAATCCCGAAACCATGCGAGATGCGGCATGGAATATCCATTCTTCTACCTACTTGTTGAAAAGTTATAGTCCCCCAACAAAAAATTCCCTCACAGAAATGTTTTCTATGAACGTAACCCAAACGATAGAAAAGTAGGGTAAACATAACTGTTTTCAGTCGGTTTACAACAATATGCACCTGCAACAAAATTATTGTCTACATTTCTTCATTGCATCCGTTGCGTAGCACGCGATAATCGAACAAGATATGTTAAAAGTAATAAAGTTATAATGCTAGTAATAACTAATAACCAGCTCAATATATAAGAAAGGCGAAATAATTCATTGCAAGGTAACCGCAAAAAATTGAGCTCATGCCAATATTGGACTTGCATATTGTTACATTGCTTGCAATAATGCAGCGAAATAAGGTGATGGCACGTGGCAACCTATAGCATAAGGTTGACAGATGAGGAGCTAATTTTTGTGTATGTAGCTTGTTGTGTTCACCTGTGACGTCACTGATCTCAGTGACGTCACGGGCCTTAACCAATCACCGAAATGCGTTCAAACCAGTCAACCATTCCGTCAAGAGAATATAGGGTTTGTTTACATTTCTCGATCTCAGTGACGTAACAAGAAAGCTGAACTGAAAGGTGGAACTTCTCGTAGGTCAACCTTATAAAAAGCTAATATTGTTGTGGCAACCACTTACTCAATCCGTTTGTTTGCGTTGACTGTCTTGCCTAATTATTAAAAAAACTTAGAACTCAAAGCAAAACCGTTGACATGCCACTTCCGTAAAGTAATTGTTGAGTAAGGTCATGTCAGAGTGCCACTACAGGCCCAGTGGTGGTGCGTATCAGACTACATAACTACAAGTGCGGAAGTGCAGTCAGTTGTGTTTGTTTGTGTTGTGCGGTGCGGGCTCCTGAGGACGCGGTTAGCAATGCGGTAGCGGTTGTTGGAGCTTGTAATGAATCAAGATTCCTCACTAATATAATTTTATTTTTCCAATTAAGGGCTGTGTTCTGCCGATGATATCGTTTTGCAATGTACATTACCCAGGTTTACCCTTAGAACAATACCTATTATGAAAACACAAGGAAGCAGATTGAGAAGCACAGAATTCTCGGTGAATGAAGCTTACGCCTGCGAACTTCACTTTTCATCTACCCGTTACGTAGGGTACTGTTTAAACCAACGGGTCACATTTAAAAAGCTGAAGGCGCTGCAGTGCAGACTGCAGAACACGTGGCGAACAATGGATCGAACGAATGCGGCGGAGAATCGGGTGATTCCGTAATTTTAGGTGCTGACGCTGCCTATATATCACTGGGGTCATAAGAACCAAAACCTTTCATATTATATTGAATCTTATACCTTTAACCATAGCGTTTGAGACAGATCTACCCATTGTCTGCTTAAACATGTTCAATAATCTTATCTCCTGTTATTTCTAGTGTAACCCGACGATCGCTTCTGGTTCCACAGGCTCATTTTAGATCTCCAGTCAAATGTTTTGCAGAGTTGTTTGAAATGAAAATACCGGTAATTCCTAATCTTTAGCAATTCTGAACATGTTTAAATACAATGGTCTGTAATAAAGTTGGTATGATTTTATCTGTACTTCATTCCCAAACACGTTATCTGTCGCGCAACTTATCAGCTTCCTGATAGAGTGATACTGTGATAGTAGACAGCACACTAATGATCTCGTTGCAACACAGATGCCTCAGATTCTATTCTGACCAATCCTAACCCAGTTTTACATGTGAATAGTTGGCAGTTGCTTACTCAAGTTCTCAGTCCCGCTGCTCAACGGTCATCCTCAAGGCAGACCTGTGATTCAAGTCCACCCAGCGCAGACACCTTGAAAATAAAACAATAAGAAGAAATATTTCTCGTCATGGAGCTGTTGACTGACGACGCGGTGCTGGAAGTAGCCAAATCTGCCGCTGGTGACGACGTCGAAGTCTTGCAGTGGCATACGGAGTCGTTTGCTGCCAACTTCTGCCTCATGCGGTCTTTGCAGGTGAAGTTACGTCTGTTTTTATAATCGGCTGCAATTTTTCCAATGATGGAAGATTTGCAGTATCTTCTTTCACCTTTAAAACGATTTTTATCAGATTTTTCTCATTTGAAAGACATCCATGGTTAAAATTTTGATGTACTGTTGTTAAATTTTAGTTCATGCATTTAAAATATGGAGGTAACAGAAAAATGATCAATTTCAAATGCCTTTTGTAGCTTCATGTCCTTTTGCAGATTTCCATCAAGAAAGACAATCATCCATCAACGTTGAATTTCATGGTGAAACATACGTCAGGGGATTCTGACATATTCACCGCCTACCGACAGCGCGCGTTCAACAAGGAGATATTCTTCTACCAAACCCTCGCTCCGTTGCTGAACGAGGAGCTCGAAAAAGCTGGGGCTGAGCCGCTCAACGTTCCAAAATGCTACTACGCCAGTTCGACGGCAGGTGAGGATTTATTTAATTAGCTTGGCTATTTTATAATATATAAAATATATTTAATTAACATGGCTATTTTGTAATAAATAATATTGTATTAGCATGGCTATTTAATTTAGGCGATTTTATTTATCACTAAAGGTTTTTTCGACACTAGTGGCCGCTGTCAGTTGGAGTTCACACATCATAAGCCTGCAGATCTGCAGTTCTGAATTATTATAATGAAAAATGAGGCACACGCTCATGTTGTATCGTGAGTCGGGTTCGTTCATCGTAAAGTCTTTATGCCTATATTATTTCGTTAAGTGCGCGTGACCGCAGAACGTAACATGTTTGTGTTATCTTTTCAATAAATAGACGACCAGTGAATTGACCCTGTCTGCAATTATTTAGCCATTATTTCTATTAATACTGGGAATGAAAAATAATTGTGAGTAGATATATCAGGTTCCAGCTAATCAGAACAACCACTAGTTAGGGCCAAATAAGAAGTGGTAAGCTCCTTTTATATAACACTTTTTTAACCTGTTTCTTGTTTTTTGTCCAATTGCGGTCAGAGCTTACAGAATTGACGTTTCACTGCACCAGTAGTTTGTTTGCTCACAAGCTTCACATTCATTAGAGAAGTTTTAAGAGGATAGACTTCTAGAGAATACTAATTCTATTATCTGTATGGTTTTAGCTGCTCTTTTTAACATATACATTATCAATTTTTATTTGTCTCGGCATAAGAATCAAAACCCGCCTTTAGTAACTGTGCTAGATGCTGAAATGTACGACTACAGAGCCTCATCCGACTCGAGAACTTTAAAACTGAAACCACCAGTAAAAACCACTTGCGTTTCTCGAGAGCTTAACAAGTTTAACCACCAGTAAAAACCACATGTCATACTCGAGAGCTTTACGAGTCAAACAACCAGTAACAACCACATGCCATTCTCGAGAGCTTTACAAGTTAAACCACCAGTATAAACCTCATGCCGTTCTCGAGAACTTTTGCAAGTTAAACCATCAGTAAAACCACTTGCCATACTCGAGAGCTTTACAACTTAAAATACCAGTAATAACCACATGTCATACTCGAGAGCTTTACAAGTTAAACCACCAGTAAAAAGAACTCGTCATTCTCGAGAGCTTTACAAGTTAAACCACCAGTAAAAACCACTCGTCATTCTCGAGAGCTTTACAAATTAAACCACCAGTAAAAACCACATGTCATACTCGAGTGCTTTACGAGTCAAACAACCAGTAAAAACCACTTGCCATTCCTCGGAGCTTTGCAAGTTGAACCACCAGTAAAAAGTAACTAAGCAGTAAAAAGTAAAAATAGTTGAACCACCAGTAAAAACCACTCGTCATTCTCGAGAGCTTTACAAGTTAAACCACCAGTAAAAAAACACGAGAGTTTTTTTCAGACGCGGCGCTACTGGTGCTCGAGGATCTGCGATCGCGAGGCTTCAGATCGTCCAAGTTTTTGGTCGACGTCCCTCACGCAACGCTGCTGGTGCGGGAGGCCGCCAAGCTGCATGCAGCGTCTCTGCTGCTCGCACAGCGCGACCCGCAGCCTCTGAACGAACGCTTCCCTCTGCTGGTCGAGTCTTGGACGCTCGGCAAGGAACACAGAACTCCCTTTGAAACTGTGGGTTTTCCTTTTTCATCGGGAATAGCGTGGGAGCATCAAAAGCTAGTTTTGTCTAAATCCTAATTAATAATATTAGTTTCTCAAGTAAGGCATGTTTGCGTAATCGGACATGTTGCCTATTACTTCCCTACTCATGCGATCAGGGTTAATGAAATTAACCTTTCTATAGAATTATGTCCATTAATTTTTTATCGTGAGGTTTGATAAAAATATTACATCAAACTTGTTATTTGGCTTTCCGGATACGTTAATGTTTAAAATCACCAGAATTTGCACCTCCAACAAAAGTGTAGGTTTAGAATGCACCGCCAAACACAACCTACAGCCTCCCGCAACCTGTACCTTTATTTTAATTTTTTTTAATAATTAAACTGTTCCCGGCTCTCATGTAAGTAACCTTGCTCATCCTGTCGCAGTACGTGCACGTGGGAACAACTGTCATGGCGGAGCAGTTCTGCACGAGCGACCACCTGCGTGAACTGAGGCAGTGGCTGGAGCGCGTAGCGCCCCACAGCCTCCAGCTGCTCATGCGGCAGCTGGAGCTCATGCCTCACGCCGCTGTCATCACACACGCGGACCTCCACACCAGAAATGTGCTCTTCAGGTGATGATAAGAACAGATATCATGCAACATCACTATCACTCTACGGTAATATTATCTTGATTCCATTGCATTAAAACATAAAGTTTGACCTCTTTGTACTTACTTGACCCTTTACTTAATAAAACTTAAAAAGCCTGGAGAATTAATCTTCGCAAGAGTTTTGACATAAAAAAATCGGTAAGTCGCACAACTTTTAGACACTATTGGAGTCGAATTAGCATATACATTTTTGGATCCATCTATTAGCTAACCAGCTTTAATTTCGAGCTTTTGCAGGTATGATGATGCCGGGAATCCAGTCGAAGTTGTGTTGCTCGACCTGCAAGTCGTGCGAGTGGCGTCACCGATCGCTGATCTCTCATACTTCACGCACATGTGCATCTTGCCCGCTCAAAGGACCTCAGTTTTGCCACAGACACTAGATGCTTACCACGATACTTTACGATCACTGTTGGATAAGACGTCAGTACCATTGCCTTTCACGCGAGCGCAGCTTGAAGACGAAATGACCACCAGCCGATTAGGGCTCCTGTATACGATTCTCCTGTTGCCCGTTGCTGTAAAAGCAATAAACGCTGGCAGTTTCAAAAAAGAGAAGGAAAATGAAGAAGAAACTTCGTCAGAGGGCACTGAAGGAAAACATGGCGAGCAAGATGCAGGGGCAGAGGCTGATGAAGCGAATGAGTCCATGACAGAAATCACCAATCGTGGACACCTTGAGGAAATACGGGAGCTTCTTGTGGAGACGGCTGAATATGCTTTCAGTTTGAAGGTACATGAAGAATTCGCTGATTTCGAAGCCCATCTTTGGAGAGAGGAAGTCAAAATGTAATTATTATGCTGAAATGAATTTTATTTGAATTTATATTTTTGGGAAGAATCCGAACAGCTGGACTTCAAATAAAATACGAGCATTCCATGCGTTTCTTTCACCTTCCAAACTAAATAGCGACTTCAATATTTCAGTTGAAATTCTCTATAGAAAAATGACTATTATTCACATTAAGCAAGATTTTTCCGCTAGTTTTGAAATGAATTTTTGAATGAATAATAGCGATGCGTTTTATTATAATGATACATTTTTTCCGTTCAACCTTTACGAATTAAATCAACTCGAGCATTAAATGCTCGAGCCTCCAATCAGCCAAATCTTCCGACAAAAAATCCCGTGTCGACACTGAAGCAACAAAGAACTTTAATGTATCGCGTGTTTAAAAGTCTATGGTATACTCGTAGATGACTACATATGTGAAAAAAATTATTATTGTTGACAAAAATTTATAACTTTTGCATTTACTATGAGTAGAAAAGATGGAGCTGGAAGTAGGACGAAGCCGTCAAATAACATATAAAAGAGAGACTAGGAAAAATATTGCAGACACATGTCTTTATCATGGCGTTCACGCAAAATGTTTTCATCAAAACTCAATGATTTTATTACTATGTAGATTTGATTGCGATAATTAGATTGTGTATAATTGCTGAAATTCTACAATGCGAAAATTGCAACCGTCAATAGGCCGACTCTGTCCAACTGGTTTGGTTCATCATCAAAATTTGTTGATTGCTGTCACCACGGAAAACTTTCCAGAGAATAATAAAACGTTTAAAGCTAGAAATGGTATTTGAGGAGTTCACAAATTAAGGATTGTGAACATTGTTTTGACTTATGAAGCAACTATATATAGGCTAAGCCTAAACGTCAAAAAATACGAGAATTATATGAGTAGGCAGTTTCTTACACTCGTTCTGATCACATTTTAAGGACAGAAAAATCGATTTGAAATACCGATGGGAGTAATTTGTCATCGGTGGTTTGATTTTTTGCGAATTTACGACATTGACTTACAAGTTCATAATGATTTACATGATCGCTCAGAATCACTGATCGAATTGCTGACCGCCTGAGTCATGAGAACTGCTGTTCGGGTTAAGACCATGCATCTCGTACATGCAGTGTCCGTAGCATGCGATTATCACCTTAGGGTACGCACACAGTGAAAGCAGGTTGCCAGCGTGCTGGTTACCTGCTCAGGCTGGCGCCTGAAACCATAGAATACAGAAGCCTATTCGTACAGGTTTTCACTGTGAACACTTACATTATTATCCTATGTTCATACTTGTGGCAGGTTGGAGCAGGTTGCCCGCGCGGGCAAACCTGCTTTCACTGTGTGCGTACCCTTATGTTTTAACGTGGACAGCCATACTTTTCGAACAAATCACAGATTTTCTGCCTGCAGTAAACAATCCTAATGCTACAGGAAAATTTGTTTGGTTCTTTCTGCACATTTCCGTTCAATCCAATCATTGATAACGATGCTATATAAATCGGCTACAGTTAATATCCTATGATTGACCTAACAAAGCACCCGCATTACAGATTGGAAAAACGTTATAGGATTTACAATGGATTTCATTTAAATTTAATTATCATTAATTAAACTTATGTTATCAACAGCAAATAGTACTTCTCATTTACCCGACCAAACACTCATTTACCTCTAAAGTTGAAAGAAGACTGAAAACTTGAACATGTAGAATTTGGAGAGATCTTCTCTGACAGTCATTACAAATATTTTACTCGCAATTCGATGCATCGCCTTTCTTCGTGATGATGCAAGAAAATAAAAAAATATAGAGATAATGTGCTGCCACAAACGAGCAATTTATCTAAATTTATCTTTGGTTTCGGGATGTGATAAATTCTAGAATAAATATAACTAAGAATCATTTTCACAAGGAATTTAAAAGCAAAGAAAACGCCAAGCGAATTCCCCATATCGATATTGGAAACGTATTCAATATCGATATTGTGAATTTGCTTGGCGTTTTCTTTGCTTTTAAATTCCTTGTGAACTTGCAATTTAAGCAGACATCACATAATACATATAAGTAACTAGCATTTTGCCACGAGATTTGAATCGTGGTTTTACAAAACACCGCACGAAATTCATTCTCTTAATCTTTACAAAACTTCCACGATTTTCAGCATTTGTCTCTAAATGGCTATAATTTCGCTTTGTCGTTAAGCCTACAACCACACCGAATCAACATTCCAATCAGCGTCTAGCCTTGATCGATGCGAGGTTTGGATTGGGAATATCTTTGGAATTATCTATCCCTCGAATATTATTTCCCAATTTCGGAATGTCATTATGTATTTCAAAATCCCTTGTTATCACAGATGTTATTGTTATACATTATCTGTTCCTCTAGGTACGGCAGATATCGCCGCTATGTATTCGTGCTGCACATATTTGAACATTACGAACATTTCTAAAATATTGCCGATTATTTTTTTTATTGTTACCGAAGCCAAGAATTAATTTAACGGAATATGATAAGATCATACAAAATACGAAATGCCTCGAGATTAATACATGTGTGAAAGAATGTTAGATTAAGGATTATCAATTGTACAGAACTAAAAAATTATTTCAGAGTACTTGTGAATAATTTTAGAACTAGAATTATTTTCAACTAGGGATTTGAAAATTAATTTTTATAGCTAGAGACTATGTGCAGAGAATAACGGCCAGAGACAGGAATCTCTTCCTTCAGAAAAAAACTTAAACTAATTCACTGGATGCTATTCATAATTCGCCAGATGAAATGCACAGTATCAACTGGCCTTGAAATTTGTTACAAAAGTTGAATAAGCTTAATATACCGCAGTTCTTACTGTGTTATATCGCATGTCCCTGGTGATCGTGTTCGTGAATTTTCTAGGCGCTTCCAATTGCATTGTCCGGCTGGACCTCATTTGCAGTTAGCAGCGACAATTGGCTTGCAAAGAAAAACGTATTTCCCTGAACCGAAGTCTTCACGAAGCCTTGACTATCATCAATGAGATAGTCCGGTAATTACAGGTTTATTTATGCACGGGATGATCATGTCAGTCTATTCGGCTTCTTCGATCAAGCTTCAATTGTTCGTCGACCAGTCTGTGTGTGTTGATTATACTCAACATGCTACAGTATATCAAATTTACCGAGTATGGATTGATAAGTTAGTAGTATGAGGGTTATTTCAACTCAGCGAATGTTTGTTGATGAACCTCATGTTGATGATGAAAATTCATCCTCTTAATCTTTACGAAGAACTTCAATATTTTTCAGAATTTGTCTCTACTCTAAACAGTTTTAAATTTGCTTTGTCGTTAAGCTTACAACGGATCAGCATTCTAATCACCTTGTAACCTTGAACGATGTGAGGTTTGAATTGGATTTCGCCGTTATGTTATGTATTCGTAGTTCGACCAGGTTGTGTGTGTTGATTATACTCAACATGCTACAGTATATCGAATTTACCGAGTATGTATTGATAAGTTAGTAGTATGAGGGTTAATTCAACTCAGCGAAGGTTTGTTGATGAACCTCAGCGTGCGTGTTGTCATTAAAAGTATGAAGCTGTCATGTCAACGTATCGCATTTCGGTGTCATAGCCGAGTTCTTTTATTTTACCACAAGAATTCTCGACCAATCAGAGCAAGGACCGCTTACTCCAAGTCAAGTCACCAATTTTTGGCATTTGAGCTGCTGCCACGTCCGAGACTAATGTTAGTCTTATTGCGGATACATAAGGATGATTTGTAGTGTAAAATGTTGGGTTTTGAATGATGGCGATGTGATGTATTTTAGAAAATGATGTGATGGCGCCATTCAACCGAATGTGAAATTTGCGCATTTATAGTTGATCGCGTGTGATCTACTCTTAGATGGAACCCTTTAGTGGACAATTTATCAAATACAGGAACTTTAATTTTCCGCATTAAAATGCTCACTTTTCGTTTACTGCCGAGGCTACTTGTAGATGGCTTAAAGCTTGTCATATTCGCTAGTGCTAGAGACCAAAATGAACGTTTTTACATTTCTACGAATGTTTTATAACCGGTTAAAGCCATGTTATCTTTCGGATTAATCAGTTTGAATTGCTAATTTAATTGTTCATGGTTGAAGATGATTATTTAATTGTTTAGGAAATTAGGAGATGCAGTCATTTAACGCGTTGACTGTGATTGCTTCATCTTGTACTATTATTTCATTTTTTCTACTATTTTTAATATGTGCCACTACGTCCTGGAGAAATACATTTCGTGGTTCCCATAAGTACCACTTCGGAGTCAACGTATTAAAGTAAATTAATTGTACATAGATTTTAATTGTGGAACATATTTGTCATAACATTTTTCTAATCTTTCGTTATAAATAAGGCGGTTACTCACTATTACAATTTATAAGCGTTAAGCAATGGGCAAACAATACTAGCACAAAGCAGTACAAAATGAGGCTTTCCCCCACTTTTACGCGTTGAAAAACAAGTGTGAGATCTTGGGAAACGAGAAAAACTCCTATTGTTTTTGCAAAGTTGAAAAAAAATCAATAATAATTTTTTCCAGAGTTATTATATCAGGTATTTTGTATTAGTGTCATTATACAATCCACGGCAAATTTAATAATCAACATGAAGACCAAACTTCTGATGACCGTCTTCGGAGCAGCGCAAGCGGCGATGTATGCGCGGGTTCCCAACGACAACGCGACGTCCATCAACGATTGTTTCTCAGGCTGTAGCGCTCCACGCACTACATTCTTCGCTAACCTTGTATTGTGCTCATTGTTCTGTCAGAAGATTGGCTGCGATCTCTTCAGCTACGAAAATGGTTAGTGAAGGGAATAATATGATACTATGGGAATATTTTCAATTTTGTAGGGTATTTCCATTTGGTAATTTGCTTCATCTACGAAAATGGTTAATGAAGGGAATAATATGGTGTTATAGGAATATTTTCAATTTGACAGGAGCACAAATGTTGAACAAATGTTTCAAATATTATTACGAAGAGATTTCCTAAGCACGACAATGGTGTCAACATGGGCTAAAAGGGTGCCCACTGTCCAACAAAATTTATTTGCCCGAAAATGCCCATTTGTATATCAAGCGGCCATGAATTATGCGACTACATACCGTATTTGATTAATTCGGAAGTGAATGGAAACGAAATATTTACATGGTTAAATTAACATGGTTAATAGGTTAAATATTCATCTTATTTAACCTATTTAACCAGGTGAGTGCCGGTCTGCCACGGCCGCCATGCCTACGAACGTCACCGCCGTTTTCAAGCCGAGGGTCAGCAGGGGCAGCAGGGAGGTGGCGCGGGGCAAACGCGTCTCAGCAACGCCTCAATATTGGCTATTGTACGATATTTTCCGTAGTACATATTGAAATTATATGCACTATACTTTAACGTCAAAATAGGAGGTAAAATTAAAATGTTCACGCTTAATTTTCATCTTCAAAACATAAAATTTTATATCCATAGAGGACGAAAATCCATTTAAATGCTGCACCTAACCTAACAGTTAGCGATTTCATATACTACGAAATTCTAACCTTCAGCCTAATTCTCAGTTATGCAGAATACTTGGTTGATGGAAATAACAGCACCTTTTACCACTCCACAAATGTACCCAACGCCTGGATCATGGTGGACCTGGGAGCTTGCTTTCCAGTCAGCAAAGTTCGTCTGTTGCCCAACGCGGAAAGTCACTACTACAGATTCGTAGATACTCAGGTACTCGGGTGCTGGGGACGTTGGAAAGCATAAAAGCTTAAGAACAATAAATTAATTCTGACGTGTGGTTTGGGATGTGAGCAAAACAAAATTTCGTAATACTATAACAACAATTTACCCCGAATCTGGGCAAATATACTACTGATCAACAGAGTTCCTTATCCAAATACTTGGAAAACGCAAGTGGCTATATGAACTCATTTCATTAAACGCGAGTTTTTGTCCTGAATGTTCTAACAAGAGATCGGGAACTTTTTATAGGAATTTATTATTCTAAGCCGTTCGACGATAAAAATCAGTCAATCAATCTTTGTTCAACCCAATAATTTTGCCAACGCTATTTTTGTCATATAATCATCGTTTGACACGTAAAAAGCCTTTTCCACTATAGGTGCTTATACACGAAGCGAATAGTTGAGTCGCCTAGTCGACACTCGACGCAACTAAAATTTGTGATGATTGAGGTCTTCAGAGGCGGCTATCTGTTGCATTTCACCCAGAGTACCTCAAGTTGTTTTCAGCCAGTCGAGTGTCGGAGTGTGCCCACTGCCAGTATAGTAGTGTAGTACCGCTTCGGCCGTTTTGCCCACTGTAGACTGCACAACTGTGGAGCTTCCGCTTGCTTCCACCATGCATACACCTTACTCGACAACACCCAACGTTGTACTGGCGCTGATGGACTGTAGTCAGTGTACCAAAAACACTCTCCTCGTGTATAGGCTCGCAGGAGGCAAAACTGTAGTCGACGCAACTATTCGCCCCGTGTATAAGCACCTTATCTGAGACTGAAAAATTGGCTTTTTCAGGCAAAAACCGGCTTACTGGTTTCAGGCCAATCTGAAACCTTCACAATCAGTCCTCTAGTGAAAAAAGGGCCTTTATAGACATGCGCGGTCATAGCAGCTCACCAGATCGATTCACAGATTCGTATATAACGGCAACAACTTTCTGTTGGCGTAACATGAACTTGCTGCACATATCGTCCGCTTACTGGAGAGGTTGAATTGTGTTACACTACACATGTAGGCGAATTTCTCCGACAACTGCAATTAGAGAACACCTCTTTCTCTACAAACTGCTCAGACAAGAAGAATGGACAACTGAAAAAATGAAAATTGAGACTAAACTTTGGTCTCTTTTTATGAAATAAATAATCCAAACGCATATTTCACAGCAATGAAGAAACAAAGGAAACCTCCGAAAATTGAATTGATAGACTTTACAAAATACGTAGACTCTAAAATTCATCCTTAAATTGGAGACGACAAATTTACACGGATATATTCGAATGTCAATGATTTTGATTTCCAGATACAACACCCGTAAACGCCAAAAAAACTTCACACACTTGTCTACAAGGTTCCACTACTCATCTTAATTTTTTTAAATTCTAATACTCGTACGTTTACATGTGCTGCATCATTTGTAAATAAAACAATATGTCATTTTCCAAGACTAAGACTGCTGAACCACCAGATGCGCAGTATAACCATCAGATCACAGTAGACATAAAGTTTGAAAATACGAACAAAAAATATTTCTAATGGGGTTTTGCTAGTCTAAAAATGATATCATTGATGGATAAACGAAATATTCTATCTCTATGATGAATTAAAATGTTCTAAACATAAAATTTGTGAATAAGTCACTATTTCTTGTAGAACTAAAGGAATGAAAAAATCTTAATTCAAATTTGTGAGTAAATCAATTGCGACCGTCGCAGTTTTATTCGAATCGATCTAAATTAATCGAGGGTACATTCATCATTGATTTATATCCTCCATGCACAAGGTTCTGCTCGGTGACGCAGCGCCCCTGACACCTGGTAACTTCGACGTCGTTTAATTTAATTTAATCGAGTGTTCATTCATCATTGATATATATCCTCCATGTATAAGATTTAATCGAGTGTTCATTCATCATTGTTTTATATCATCCATGTATAAGGTTCTGCTCGGTGACGCAGCGCCCCTGACTCCTGGCAACTTCGACGTCGTTTAATTCAATCGAGTGTTCATTCATCATAGTTTTTTATCCTCCATGTACAAGGTTCTGCTCGGTGACGCATCGCCCCTGACACCTGGCAACTTCAGCAACTTCGACGTCGTAGGCACCATCAAGGGGCCGGTGCCGTGGGTGCCGAATTGGATCGAGTTCGTCCTGCCACAGCCGCGCTGCACCCGCTACGTGACCATCTACAAAGACGTCCCTACCACAGGCGAAGGGGCGTTAATGGAAGTCCGTGAGCTGGAAGTTTGGACAAATGAGTAGATTCGAAAAAACTTGATGCTTGGTCACGGAAATACATACACTAGTATTTTGTGCGAGTTTTACATTTGGAGGTGCAGAAAGGAGTCATTTCACGGTTAAAATAGTCGTTATCGTTTGTGAATGCACCGTTGCGTTCGGCTGCGTTTCAATTTAGTTAAGTATTTTCTTTACAATCCTTGCCATTTAGTGACGCTATTGAAGATTTATTAGTGAATCCAGAACGTTTTTATTTGCTGTGTCATTTATAAGAGTGCAAATACATTAGTACAGGAAGAAAAACCTAACTACTTTCCTTTCGAGATTTTTTTGGGTTTCGTGGAGTGTATACTAGGTATTGCATACTCGGTATAACTGAAGAATATGGGTGATCATGTCAGTGCCATGTTATGCACCGTACAAATGAGTGAGTCATTTAACAAAAACCTATAGTTTTATTAGACACTATATACGAGTACGGCGGACGTTGCCCTGATGCTCCCATTTACTTCGCCCAAACTATGACAGGATGACCCACTGAAGAAACAAATGATTGAAAATATTGCATTTCTTCTTGGGCCTATACTTCCAAAAAAGTTAAGAGATCGTAAGTTCATCAGCCAATCATTGACGGCCTTTCAAGCAAAATTCACCAATCATAGACAAGAAAATAGAGCGTAAGTACTTACGTTCACTATACTTTCAAAAAAAGTTAAGAGATCGTAAGTTCATCAGCCAATCATTGACGGCCTTTCAAGCAAAATTCACCAATCATAGACAAGCAAATAGAGCGTGAGTACTTACGTTCACTTAGCGAGTTTTGAAAGTATGGCCCCTGGAAAACAATCTTTTTTAATTTCTAAGTGTGTAATGGAGAAAAAATAGGTAAAGATCTTCATGGAATCGTTCATTCTACTTGAACAGATTAGTAGCTCATTGATAAATTTGTATTAGGTTAATGTGAGTCATATTTGTTCAAACTCCGAGCAGCCTTTGCAACTGACTTTGCCAAAATATAGGCAAGCGTCTTTGTAATTTGTAATAAATTGTTGACAACTATTTACTTTTTCCTCACTATTACTGAAGTAGATGAGGAAACACGATAAATAAAGGATGAATAACATTTATCCTTCTTTGCGTACTTTACAGTCGGTAGTTACCATGAATAAACTTTATAGGAATCATCGAACGAGTTTCTACATGGTACACATCCTCTCCTTACTCGCTTGACTTTAAATGTCTTATTAGGAACATTAGGGTGAATAATGTTGAATATAGTAGAGGGTGAGGATCGTAAGATCACGCCGAGTGACAAAGTCATAATGGATTACAAATGTACGTGAGCTGAATGCTGGATGTAAACTCGTTGAATTACCGAACTCATTGCAATAGATATAGACGAATACCAACGACCACACCTGTTCATGTAACAACCAATATCGACATCACTACTTGTAGCACTCATCAGTCGGCTTCGCTCTCACTGCTTGATTCTTTATATTTCATTTCTGAGTGTTCGTAAATATATTCTCTGAAAGATACGGACTCTGATTTTATGAATAACCTCAGGTTTAGTAAAATAGTTTGTCGCGAATAACTTGGGTCACCAGGATCTGATGGCAATATAGTCGCCTAACGGTAGCGTTAAGTCGTAAGATCCAAGGAAACTTGATACATCAGTGAATATTTACTTCTTAAAACCACCGTAAATCCTGCACATTCAGAATTTAATTAGAAATAGTCCAAATAGAAATGAAATCAGATATTAATTTATTATTCTAAAAAGTTCAAAGGACATGGTTCACTATTCTGCTACAAACAAAAATCAATTATAAAAGAAATTTAAGCGTTCACTATAACTCGAATCTAAGAAAAGTGAGCATTTGTGGGGGTTTTATTTGTCATTCCACATTAACTGCGTTTAACTCCAATGAATCAGGGAATTTGAACGGCCTAGGTAGCTAACTTGAATCATTCACTAGGGACAGACAGAAACAGAGATCGGCAGAACGAATTTGGTTGGTTAAGCAAATACACAATTAATTGATAAGTTGATTTATTGGCTTAGCTCACGTGACCTGCTCGATGTGATGATGCAGGAGGAATTTGTAGTCCAGGCAGGAGGTGCGGGTCGACGGGCCACCGTGATTTCGTTGTGAGCGGATATACACGTGGTTGCGTGGTCAGTGGTGAGACGTTGTGGACGTTATTCGATGCACGTTGTGAGGTGGGTGGACGAAGTTGACTGAGCGTGCGTGTAGAGCGTTAAGACGAGATTTCACTGAACGTGCTTGATGTAACTCACAGAGTATGTCTAGCAAGAGTTCTCTGTATAAGTTCACTGGTTAACTGAATAAGTTCACAGCAAGAGTTCACAGTGCGAGTTTATAGTATGAGCTTATACTGAATGTAAGTCCACTGAATAAATTCACTGAATGTTCACGGACGAGCGTCGGTAGACAGGGACGGCGTAGGGGCGCGGCAAGAGGGCGGGAAATGCTGGCTTGGGACGCCGAGGTTCCCTGCTGCAGGTTGCAGGTTAGGGCTGCAGGTTGTGGGTTCACGCCGGTAACGGTTGTCTTGCGTTGCAGGATACAGGCTGTAGGTTGCCGAGTACTGGTTGCCGAATGTTAGCCGATGTTGTGATACTACGAAATAAGGCAATGTTAATACACTATTCACATTTCACGACTCTATTTCACAAATGAGCTAAAGCAACGTGAGCTATGTTCATGAAAAATACATTAATTTAATTATTCACCTTGCAATGACTCCGACTTTTGAACTAACTTTACTCTTACACTTAACACATTGAATGAGAGCTATTCTACGGCAGAGTTTCTAACTTAGGGAGCTTACGCGAGATGTTGACGGCTGGAATAAACGCTCGATGTCTGGGGGCAAATAGACCGTTAATATTTTGAGAAGCTACAAAGGAAGGGAGGCGTTGGCGGAAGTGAGATTTCTCTGAACTGTTCTTACGATGATTTTCTACTTATTAATACGATAAGTGAAAGTAATGTAATAAAAGTACTGTTAAGAGTATTAATATTAATGTTAGTATGAGAAACATAAAAATTAGTTCTACGTAGCGAGATATGTTATACATATATATGAATATTTCGGAATGTATTAAGGACATGAATGTGGCTGAGTCAATTTTACTTAATAGTATTAAATATTATTTAAAAACCAGCATGATACATACATAATATAAATTACAGAATAAAACTGTACGATAGATTTCGGTGTAATGTTGTCAACCTCAGCCTGTTACTCGTGTCAACATGTTAGTTGTTACTTGTCAAGTTGTTACCAGTTACCACTTACAGGTATTTTTTCATGTTTCAGTTTGCTTGCAGTTATTTTTACACAGTTATTTTTATGTTTCACCTTCCCTACATTGATGTCTACTTTAATCTACCAATCTCAAAAATAATCCACATATATATACAAATAAAAAACTGATTTTTTTATATGTACTGTATATGTGGATAATTTTTTAGATTGGTAGATTAAAGTACACATCCATGTAGGGAAGGTAAAACATAAAAATAACTGTAACTTTTATTTGCAGTATCTAGCACGTACTAGTTCGGTTAGGTTAATTGCAATAAAGTTGCATTGATATGTTTTGAAAATGTTTTATTATCATTAAATGTTTATGAGTAAATCCCAATAGCAGGACAATAAATATTTAGAGATTTCCAATAATTTTGGCCATTGTAGCGGCTAATGTAGCGGCGCTACATTTTACTGTAGCGGTAGCGGTAGCGCTCGCTACAATCTATAGCGCCCGCTACATTTAGAGCATGTAGCGGTAGCGGTAGTGCCGCTAGATTTCAAAGTAGCGCTGACCAGCTCTTAGTACTAGTAATCTCGAGTACTATGCAAGATTATTAGCCTCAGGCTGGCTTAAGCAAGTAACTTGCCCGCTATCACATTTCACCATGAAAAATGATGAAATACTTCAAATCAGTGTAACAATCAACAAGTAAGCTGAACTGAAAGACTGAAATCCTTGTTGGTCAAACGTATATAGTTCAACCATGCCTCATTTTAACCATGTATGAATACTGACGTGATCGACGAAAGATATATGTTTGTTGAACATGTAGAGGCAGGCAATTAGTAGATCTTTTCAAAATGGTTCGGACCAAGTGTCTACAGTTATTACATTAAGAAAGATTGTGGTTTTATTACACCAGTGTTCATAATGTACTGCTCTCAAAGTTACGGAAACGCACGATTGTCCGCCCCATTTGATGGATCTATTATTCGCCGCGTGTTGATCTTCAGCCTCATCAGCTGTCAAGTTTGTACCTTGTACAATTAGGGTAAAAGCAGTTATATACCTCTCCATCGTCATGAAGTAGGTATGTGCAATTTTTCTGCATTAGTGCAAATCAAAAAAGAAGTTCCCATAAGTATTTTATAATAAATGAATAATTGCTACCGAAAAAATTCTAATGACTAATAGAGTGATTACTGATTAGAGTCTATTAATTAGAGTGCAGTTTTCTGTTATTGCTTAATTTTAATGTGTCATGTGTGTATTGCTTAATTTTAATATCAATCATTGTCAGTTTGCCAATAAATCTTCATTGAGCGCCATAAGCGACCATAACATTTATTTATATAATTATTCTAATATAGGTAGGGCCTATTTAACACAGGAAGGAAAGAAAGATACCTAATGATATTTCAGGAAATGAGTAGCTATCGCAGTCTGTAGAGTGATAATAAATAGTATGGCCTTTTATCTCGAGTTATATTACATCAACAGAGCTGGGCAGCGCTACTTAGAAATGTAGCAGCGGCTACCGGGAGTACCGGCCTACCGCTAGTCCGCTACATGCTCTAAATGTAGCGTGCGGTGGGCGCTACTGCTACAATTGCTTTATTTGCTTAAATGTAGCAGTGGTAGCACCCAGGGTGGAATTCTAGAAATGGAGGTTCACTTATAAAAAAGCTTTCCACCCAAGGTGGAATGCTTTCCTTAGATACAGCATACAGTGCTCTGCCAGGTGATTGACTATAAATGAAAAGGAGGATCAAAAGTGGACAAACTGTTTCAGTTGTATAGTACCTCAGATTTGTTATAAAATTATTTAAATGTCTCTTGTTTGATAGATATTCTCTATTTTTCTTTTATTTAATGGATTTTTTTGAAAATTTTCCAGGCATTTTGTTTGTAATGATCAAGTTTAAGTTNATAACAATACATCAATATAAATTAAAGACTGCCACTCAATATTTTTAAATATATGAAAAAATAAAAAAAAATAAAAAAAATTGAAAAAATAAAAAAAATCATGATTTTTTTATAAAAAAATCAAGTGATTTAATCACATGATTTAATCATTTTGATTTAATCATTGCCAACCCTGTAGTGGGCTACTGCTACAATTGCTTTATTTGCCTAAATGTAGCAGTGGTAGCACCGCTACTGCTACTGAAAATGTAGTGGCCGCTACATTTAGTAAGCTACTTCCCAGTCCCACCTCTGGATCTGGTAACAACAAACAGTAACATGTTGACACTAGTTACTAGTAACAGCCTAACAGGCTAAGGTTGACAACATTACACCATCACCAAAATCTTTTGTACAGTTTCATTCTGTAATTTATATTATGTATGTATCATACTGGTTTTTAAATAGTATTTAATACTATTAGTATTATGTAAAATCTAAAGGCTTTATCTATAAATGTAGCGGTAGCGCTGTGGCGGCAAAACCTCGTAGCTTGTATCGTGATTTGAATATGTAGCGGGCACTACTGCTACAATTGCTTGAATGTAGCGCTGCTACTGCTACAATTGCTTGAATGTAGCACCGCTACTGAAAATGAAGCGGCCACTACATGTAGCGCACTACAGCCCACCTCATCAATAACATTGATAATGTGTGTATATGAATATGATATCATATCAATAAAGGAAAAACAAGTAAAAATCACAGAAAATGTCATTTATTCTACTTTCTACATCTATTTCATCTACAAAGGAAAAGGAGGACTTTTGAGTACTACTTTTACTGTTAGTAATGTATGAGTAGAATCTGCATCAGCATGACAGCATCAGGGTTATTGATGTTTTTAATAAAATAAAAAAAAAACAAAATCAATGATTTTTTATTTTTCCATGATTTTTTTCATTCATTTTTTTTTTGCTTTTTCCGGTTTTTTTTGGCTTTTTGTAATGTTATCTTTCTTTATAAAATCTTTCTAAATGCCTAAAAGGTCAATACAATCTCAACCTACCCTTCATATATAAGCAAGCTTAGTCAGCTAACACATGTAAATTCTATAATGTAATTAATATATAACAAATATTTAAATAGTTAGTTAAAGACTACTCATAGCCTTATAAGAATTAGCTAAGCTGCTAGCTATGTACTATGTATTGCAACACTTGATGCCTCTGTACCAAAAACATACAATTCTTTGGAACATAATACACACTAAAGGCAACAGGTTTATATTCCAATTTGTCATAGTACATTTATACCAAACCATGAATAAAAATTCCTCAAAATAAATTAAAGACTGCCAGTCAATATATTTAAATATATAAAAAAAATTTAGTAAATCAAAAAAATTAAAATATCATGATTTTTTATAAAAAATCAAACAATTTAATCAGTTTGATTTAATCATTGCCAACCCTGATGTGCATGCTTCCAAGGTTTAAAATTAAGTTTTATTTCAAGTGTCCCTAATTATCCTGTTCCCAGAGGGAATTTGGAATGCTTTTCTTTTGCGTCTGGCACCTTACAAATAGCATATAGAATTTTTTCAGAGATGCCATACAATAGCCCTTACAAATACCTTTAAAATAAGCCCAAACATATTTATGAAATGTTCCATGGTAAGAAGTTATTAACAAAAAATACTTAAAATCATCCCTTATTACCCTGTTTGACGGTACAGCCTAACATCAATTATCAATGCCACTGATATTAATTTGCCAAGCACTTATGTGATGAGCCTTTAATAGAAAGAATCTATTTTGTAAACAAGACTGAGTCACTGAGGCATAACTTTTTATTTGATTGTAAATGCTTTTTTATTATTATGTGGTTATCAAACCCTATAAATTATTATTCTAACCAGGATTATATGGTTTTATTGATGAGTGGCTGCTTAAGTCAGTTTAATTGGCTTAAGTGCAGTAGTAACTGCTAAGTGGTGAATGACTGAATGTGGCATTGAGATTTGACAGTATGCAAATGAGAATGATTTGATATTCTAAAATCAAATCATGAATGTTTTGTCAATTGGAATTTGTTTTGTTATTGTGAAATCCAATCAAGATGCAAAGAAGGAGTCAAAGACTTTTGTTATTTTTCAATGCTTTTTCTTTGATTTATTACATGTTGCCACTTGACAGATGCTGCACTTAATTTGCTGCTCCTCAATAAACAGCATGCAGTTATTTGTATTTTAAAATAAGTATACACAACAGTGAAAATCTTGTTGACAAAAAACTTAGCAAATATATCTTATTTATTTTCTAGTGTTTAGTTCAAGAAAGCCAAAATGAATGCTGAGATAGAAAAGCACATTGCTGCCAACATCAGCTTTGCAGATCTGCCACACAGTGTCAGGCAGGTCAGTCCCTCCCATCTTGAACTTTTGTGTGAAGCATGGTTTGTACATAATGAATCATTTCATGAGAGCATCTAGCAATTATATATGTTTTTTAATATGTCTATTTAGTATAGGTATATTTACAATGAAAATAATAAGTGAATATGTACTCTAAAATTTCTCATAATCCAGTTGAGATATTCAATTATCCTTTAGAGTTTATTAATTTAAAGTCATTATTTTCTCTAATAAATGCAGTATTGGTTATGGTAAGACTTGCTTCAAGTGCTATTTCTGTCTGACCAGATGGTTGGTGACTCAGAAAAGGAGTATAACAAACACGTCATACAGTACAGCATCAGCACACAACTGCCTTACCGTGGCAACTTAGGTGGGTTGAAAAGTGCTTGAAATATTTGACAGTATTCTCAAAGGTTTATTATTAATTTACTCTATTGATTAAGGCTTGGTCTATGAGTCTTCACTGCCCAGGTCATTTGCATGTGTTTCAGCCTATGGATTATGATATTGGGAGATCATTTCTATGGAGATCTTGATTGGCATTGAGCCAATGTTAATTACTCCAACTGTTGCAGTGAATTGACTACTTTTCACTGGATCTGTGTCTACAAGTTGGCTGAAAATTGCTCCAATGTTTGCAGCCCGTTGCCAATTGGCCCTCTGTTACCATTAATGGTATTACTGGCATTTCAGTGGCCGGTCGGCACGTGAAAAGAAACACTGTGTTGCTGTTTTTATTCTAATTTAACACTAGAAATCCATAAAACATCTGATAAAACGGCAAAACAGTTTATTTTCACGGGGCAACCGGCCACTAGAACGCTGGGGGGACCATTTTTTCTAACAGTGTTGCTGTAATCAAGGTCCCAGTTACTCTGCAGTTACAGGAAGCCTGATGCTGATTTCTGCTGTTGCAGTTAGCTGTTTCTATGTAGGCTGCTGTTTCCATTAATTATTTTTAGTTTAAACAATCTATTCATAAAAGAATGTTGCAGTGAGCCAGCTTGTGCAAAGTGAGCGTGGCTACTATGAGCAGTTGGTGGAGACCAGCCGACGCCAGCTGATGCTGTACCCGTATCATCTGTCTAAGGTGAAGTAAAACAACATAACCTGGTCAAGTAAATGTTCATGGTCACTTCAAACCATTCTTGAATTGTTTGAGTTGTTGAGTGTATGACACTTTGTTGTTGATACTTTGAGTTGTTGAGTGTATGACAGCATTATTTCTGCATCAGCCAGTTGCGCTCTAACATCAGACATTCATTTTTTCTACTTTCCTTGCAACATTCTTGTATTATGGTCTAATAAAAAAAATCTATCCATAATTTCATGTAACATGCAATCAAAGGTGCACTGTATATATAAATACATATAGCTAAATAACAGTGTGAAGTGTAGTTCTTGAATTCTTTAATTTGTTATAGAGTTTCTCTTATCAACACTTGTAATGTTAATGCCAATCTTTGAATTCAACACTTAGGAATAATTCCTCTCATGATTCACTGAACAAGTAGTATTGCAAACTTCTGTTATATCAAAATTTTAAAGACACATTCAAGAGTGAACAAAAGTATTATATGAATTATTTATTGATTTTGCATACTATGTTATGTTCTACAATTTGTTTAATATATTGTACTGGTTTGATTGTTCATTTGTGTTTGCATCATTCACATGTTACAGATCTTGCATATTTTGTATTGTATATATAGGACAAAATTTCATTATCTATCACATCTAATTTCTTCATCTAGGGATAGCCCTCCATGCAGAATACCTACATGTGTCCCTGACTGCCCTCGCCTGCAGGTGGTGGTGGCAGGGCTGCGCATCACGCCCTTTGCATACTACGAGCGCGCCATGCGAGAGGTGATGGCGAGTGAGCGCTCCTACGACGCCTTGCCTAACTTCACGGCCGTTGACTGTGGGTAGTGGGGGAGGTGGGGAGCTGATGGGGGAAATGAGAGGAGGAGGTGGGGTGCGAGTGGCAGGTAGTGACATAGGGTCGTGGATGTGGTGGGGAGCTGGAGGCGAGTGGGGTGGGTCAATGGTGTTGATCTAGAAGTGGTAAGTGGGCTGCAGGTAAGGACGTTACGTCCGACGTTACATCCGACGACGACTCGAAGACGGAGGACGACGAAGGCAGCGCATCAGCGTGACCGTGGACTACGACGTCCTAAACTCATCACAAGGTTACAAGGACATATGGGGAGAAGATTGTTTGGAGCAGTTGGTCTATGGGGCTGAGTCTCATTTGAGGTGGGGAGTTATATGACATTGGATTGGTCAAGACAGAATCATCCCTTAGGATGTGAATGAATAATCGCTGATGTCAGAATGAAGTTGGTTATCCTGGTCTAAGGATTAAAGCTGAGATTCTTGACAGGCGTCCGGTTGCTGGGCATCGGACGCAACCAATACATCGACCTGATGAACCAACGCAAATCTAGCCGCACCCGCCTCTTCATGAGGAAGCCTGTGAGTGTTATGAGTAACGCTGTCCCTGTGTCTGTGAGTAGTGAAGGTTGAGTTATGCAGTATTGTGTTAATTAGAGTAGTAATCCCGAATTTAAATTCGCTTAAATCCGTTCAGTTTTTCATCTTTCGATTTTTTTCTCCTGCAATCATGCTGCATCAGGTGCGGGAGCTGCTACCAACAATGCCGGCACCGTCAGCGCTGCAGCACATGCAGTGGTGGTGGCGGGTGTGGCTGGGGCGTGTCACCCAGACTGACGTCAAGGTGGGTTTGAGGAGGGAGGCATGGTGGGTGGAGAACATGGTAAGGTGGATAGGGAAGGGGGTTTGGCAAGGTTGGTGGGGATCTGTCGAGGTGGGTTGTAGGGTGAGGCAAGATGAGTGAAGGCCTGGAGGGCAAAGGTAGGTTGGGTGGAAGGCCTAGCAAAGGGGGTAGGGGACGAGATAAAGTAGGTGAATGGTGGGCTTGGTAAAGTGGGTGGGGTGTCTGACAAGGTAAATGGAAGGGCCTAGCAAGGCAAGGTGGTTGAAGGTCAATGCAAAGTGGGAGGGGTGGTGAGCCTGGTGTAGTTGTAATATCCTGTGTTGCTGTGTTATGTAGGAGCATTGCACGGTATAACCTGTGTGCTAACAAGTAAACATTGCATTATTAATGAAGACGTTTGATATGCATCCTACGCCCTCATCACCTGATTAACAGAGCTCGGTGACATCAGCTGAGAAGGCAGTCATTGACCTGCTGATAGACAGCGGTCCCCAGACGGCAGGGGAGCTGGACAGAGACGTCATCGTCAGCCTCTACGGGTGAGTGTCAGCTGAACTTACTTCAGTAAACCGCAGTACCATACTTGGCCAAGAGTTCCGAATAAATCTCAGTCACTGTTACAACTATCGAATGTTGTAAGGTAAACTGAACGTACGATTTGGTTTAACATTATACTATTGTGTCGGGATCATTCAGTGGCTGAAATAGTATCAATCGTTAAAGGACATCAATGCGAATATCTGTAACTAATGGAATGTTGTGAGCAGGAAGGGGCTCATTTACCTCGAAGTGGGCGTGAAAGGCGGAGATAGAGTGAGCGTTCCTCCCCTTGAGGGATTTGTTATGAACCGCGTGACGGGCGATGCCATGGAACGCCTCATGTACAAGGTCTTCGTGAGCCTCGACACCCGCTGCAGCCTGGACGAGGTAAGGGGGCGGGGCCTCGACACCCGCTGCAGCCTGGACAAGGTAAGGGGGCGGGGCCTCGACATCCGTTGCAGCCTGGACGAGGTGAGGGGGGTGGGGCCTCGACACCCGCTGCAGCCTGGACGAGGAGCCTGGACGAGGTTAGGGGGCGGGGCCTCAACACCCGCTCCAGCCTGGACGAGGTGAGGGGTGGGGCCTCGACACCCGCTGCAGCCTGGACGAGGCGAGGGATTGGGCGGGGCCTCGACACCCGCTGCAGCTTGGACGAGGTGAGGGGGCGGGGCCTCGATACCCGCTGCAGCCTGGACGAGGTGAGGGGGGCGGGGCCTCGACACCCGCTGCAGCCTGGACGAGGTGAGGGGGTGGGGCCTCGACACCCACTACAGTCTGGACGAGGTGAGGGGGCGGGGCCTTGACACCCACTACAGTCTGGACGAGGTGAGGACCTCAACATCCGCTGCAGCCTGGACGAGGTGAGGGGGCGGGGCCTCGACACCCACTACAGTCTGGACGAGGTGAGGGGGCGGGGCTTTGACACTCACTACAGCCTGGACGAGGTGAGGGGGTGGATGGGTCATAGGTTGAGGTCTCCGGTCTCGGCATAAGCTATCGAGACTGGTGGTGAGGTCTCGACTAGGTTAATCAAGGTTCTGGTAAGAGCTAATGTATAATGACAGCTAGCAGAAAATTGGGTTCCCTGAGAAAAAATGTCGCCTTTTTAGCGCATTTTCTCATTTAATGGAAAAAATGCACTATTGTGCTCGTCATGTCCGTCGGTCTGTCTGTCCGTCCGTGACTTCACGTTTTCGTCGACGAAAAAATGCGCTCTCTGTCACTCACTGCAGTGAGTACTGAGTTATATTTTTTAGCCTATTGTAATATTGTAATAATCTTCCCCCCCCCCCACAGCTGTCTACGATCCTGGGGGTGCAGCCCTCCCTCGTCCAGATGGCCGTCTCCCTTTTCTGTCGCCTGGGGTTTGCCCAGCTGGTGGATCCCCCACCCCCACCACCTCTCCACCCCTCCTGGCTCACCCCACCCGCTGCCACCAGTGAAGCACCCACTCCACCCCTCTCGGTTCTCACCCCTCTCGACACTCCCATGAGTGGTGCACAAATAGGGTGAGTTACTTATTTTTTAAATTCTTCATTACGTGGATCGCGATATTTTTTATTTGCCCGCATATTGCATGATGTTAGTTGTTCCTTTATATTTTATTGTTTTTCATACATCTGATATCAAGTTATATCGCGAGGCCATCATCCCTTAAATTCCTCAGTTTCATATCGTCTACTGTCTTGATTCTCTGTAATTATACGATTTTGCTACAGAAACTATTACGATTTTGATTGAGATACGATTTTTGAGATACGATTTTGCTGCAGAAACTCTCACGGCGTATGTCGTTGTAGCATAAAGACAAGATTTACGATGTAGCATAACGACACGATTTACGATGTAGCATAACGACACAATTTACGATGTAGCATAACGACATTATTTACGATGTAGCATAAAGACAAGATTTACGATGTAGCATAACGACACGATTTACGATGTAGCATCTCGACACAATTTACGACGTAGCATAACGACACAATTTACGATGTAGCATAAGGACATTATTTACGATGTAGCATAACGAAATTATTTACGATGTATCATAACAACACAATTTACGACTTAGCATAACGACAAGATTTACGACGTAGCATAACGACATTATTTACGATGTATCATAACGACACTATTTACGATGTAGCATAACGAAATTATTTACGATGTAGCATAACAACACGATTTACGATGTAGCATAACGACACGATTTACGATGTAGCACATCGACACTATTTACGATGTAGCATAACGAAATTATTTACGATGTAGCATAACGACGCAATTTACGATGTAGCATAACGACACGATTTACGATGTAGCATAACGATATGATTTACGATGTAGCATAACAACACGATTTACGATGTAGAATAACGACATAATTTACGATGTAGCATAACGACACAATTTACGATGTAGCATAACGACACGATTTACGATGTAGCATAACAACACGATTTACGACGTAGAGTAACGACACAATTTACGATGTAGCATAACGACGCAATTTACGATGTAGCATAACGACATTATTTACGATGTAGCATAATGACGCAATTTACGATGTAGCATAACAACACGATTTACGATGTAGCATAACAACGCGATTTACGATGTAGCATAACGACACTATTTACGATGTAGCATAACGACACTATTTACGATGTTGCATAACGACACAATTTACGTTGTAGCATAACGACACGATTTACGATGTAGCATAACGACACGATTTACGATGTAGCATAACAACACAATTTACGATGTAGCATAACGACACTATTTACGATGTAGCATAACGACACGATTTACGATGTAGCATAACGACACTATTTACATTTTACGATGTAGCATAACGACACTATTTACATTTTACGATGTAGCATAACGACACTATTTACATTTTACGATGTAGCATAACGAACTTATTTACGACGCATTATTCACGACGCATGACCTGTACATGTACGTGCAGGTCATCAGACGACGACCTGCTACGGGAGCTACAGGTCGCCCTGGACTCCTCCCTCTGCCTGGAGGGGGGAGATGGGGAGCTCGCCCTCCCCTCCGCCACAACCCCCGTCGACATCACTGCATCCCTCAGCTCCCCTTATGATGGGGATGATAGGTGGGGCTACTGCTTGTTCTCGTTTGCTGTAAAAAAGGTTTTACAATAGGTTACAAGGTTACAATACAATTGATAATTTTTGACAATACAATTAATATTTAAATTTTACAATACAATTAATAATTTGTGACAATACAATTTATAATTAAATTTTACAATGCAATGCAATTTCCAAAAAGGTTATTAAAGTTTTACAATATAATTGAGAATTTTTTACGATACAATTAATAATTAAATTTTACAATACAATACAATTTAACAATCAAAAACGTTATTAAAATTTTACAATACAATCCTTACAATTTTCAAAAAGGTTATTAAAATTTTACTATACAATTAAATTTTTATGGTCATTAACCAGGAATTCTCCTTTGGAAATTCCCAAAATAATATTAAATGAAAAATGTCATTTTTTTTAAACCAGCGCAAAAAACTTGCATGAAAACACCCAATCCCTCCCTCAGATGTGGGACGACTGGGGTTGTGCCTGCACCCCAGGACCCCCCCGACCCCATCCCCGACCCCGACGACAAACGCATCGCCTTCCTCTTCGACTCCAGCCTCACAGCCTACCTCATGATGGGCAACCTCTCCCCCGTGAGTTGGGGAGGGGGATTTGTTCCCCGTGCGTGGGGAGTAGAGGAGACAGTGGGAAACATGTCACCCGTGAGTTGGGGAGGGAGGGGTTTGTTCCCCGTGTTTGGGGAGTAGAGGAGACAGTGGGAAACCTCTCCCCCGTGAGAGTTGGGGAGGGGGGTTTGTTCCCCGTGAGTTGGGGAGGGAGGGGTTTGTTGCTGGTGCGTGGGGAGTAGAGGAGACAGTGGGCAACCTCTCCCCCGTGAGTTGGGGAGGGGGGTTAATTCCCCGTGAGTTGGGGAGGGGGGTTAGTTCCCCGTGTGTGGGGAGGGGGTTTGTTCCCCGTGACTTGGGGAGGGTGGTTAGTTCCCCGTGTGTGGGGAGGGGTTTGTTGCCCGTGCGTGGGGAGTAGAGGAGACAGTGGGCAACCTCTCCCCCGTGAGTTGGGGAGGGGGGTTTGTTCCCCGTGAGTTGGGGAGGGAGGTTTGTTGCCCGTGTTTGGGGAGTAGAGGGGGGTAGTGGGAAACCTCTCCCCCGTGAGTGGTTGAGAAAAGGGGGTGATGTTCCTGTGTGTGGCGAGAATTGGGGGAAATTATATAGGGTACCTGCTCCCCGTGAGTGGGGGAACAAGGGGCGTGTTGCTCCCTGTAAGTGGGGGAACAAGGGGGCGTGTTGCTCCCCGTAAGCGGGGGAACAAGGGGGCGTGTTGCTCCCCGTGAATGGGGAACAAGGGGCGTGTTGCTCCCCGTAAGAAAGTGGGGGAACAAGGGGCGTGTTGCTCCCCGTAAGTGGGGAACAAGGGGGCGTGTTGCTCCCCGTGAGTGGGGAACAAAGGGTGTGTTGCTCCCCGCAAGTGGGGGAACAAGGGGCGGTTGGGGAACCTGTCACCCGTGAGTGATGAGAGTGAATACCTGAGCCCCGTGTGTAGAGGGAGTGTTCGTGGTGAGGGGAGGAGTGTGTTCCCTGCATGTCCAGGGAGTGTATCCCCCATCCCCACGTGAGAGCTGCGCCACACACCCAGCGTTATATTGGGTCATATTACCCCATATAACGGGGTTATATGGGGTTATCATCCCAGTCATATCGGCTATTATCATCCCGATCATATCGGCTCTTATCATCCCAGTCATATCGGCTCTTATCATCCCAGTCATATCGGCTCTTATCATCCCAGTCATATCGGCTCATTTCTTCCCCGTCATATCGGCTCTTATCATCCCAGTCATATCGGCTCATATCTTCCCCGTCATATCGGCTCTAATCTTCCCCGTCATATCGGCTCTAATCTTCCCAGTCATCTCCCCATCATCTCCATCATCTCCCCATTAACTCCCCTAATCCTCATGATCCCCTCCCCAGGACCTAAAGACCCACGCTGTGACGCTCTTCGAGGTGGGCAAGCTGCCCGACGAAGGGCTCGACGGTCTCCTGCACGAGCTCTCCAAGATACCCACGTGAGGACCGACACTCAGAGAAATAAGAGACTTGTCCTTGTCCTAATAGCGATGATCTTTTTGCCCTTGTGCGGTTGGGGAAGTTAGGTCAGAGATAACATTCAGAGGTCCCGTTATCATGGGGTTACCTTAGGGCTGTGATTCCAAAACTGCTGAGGGAGAGGAAAATTACCCTTTTGCGTATTTGATCAATTTATCGGGAGGTTAATGAAGAGTTTTACTGGTAACTGTTTAACTTATTTAAATCAATGTCAACAACATGCAGTGGGAAGCCAGGCCATTTGCTTTAGGGTGTTGAATTTAGGTACAATTGGAAATTAAAGAGCAAGGAAAGCGTTGAATCTTTTATTGAAGTGGTTCCGCAAAAAGAATTGGTTCGCAGAACGAAGCCAGGAGGTCACGAGAAGCACGAAGCGCGATGAGGAACTCGTGCACTGTAGTAGAATACGTTTGCACATAAGTACAAGTTCGAACGTAAGAAGTCTAGAACACAATATTTCATTTAAATAGAACGAGTCACTGTTTCAGGTGAATGTCTCTCTCCAATTCTCACCATATATTGCATGTGGCAACAGAACGTAATAAGCTAGGAGTATTTCAGCTAAAAAAAACAGGAACGGCTGAGTTGAAGACCAAGTAGAGGCGGTTGGGTGTATTCTTATCTGAATAAGACAGAAAACCAACTTAAGCCTAAAATTAACAGATTCAAGGTTTTAACGCAATGGATTTCAGTGTGATTCAAGTAAATTCAGAATAATGATAACACAGTTTCAGAAAATCAAAATAACAAACCTATTTGTTTCCGTTGAGGAATCTTAGACAAGAGTTCTCATGTAGAGAACTATAAGAAAGAAAATAGTGAAAACAGAAATAGGAGTGTTCGCTCGTACTTAAAGAGAGTTAAGCGCATGCAAGTTAATTCACAGCACTAAGGCATGTGAAAAAACGCGGGTTAAACACCGAAGCTCCAAGGAGCCAATAACCTTACGGGCCTTCACTGGCGTAAAGCCAGTTAAGCAAGATCTTACACGAGCGAAACAAAGAAGTTCGAACATGCATTATATGGAACAAAATAAAATGAAAGCACACTCGCACAAACTCAAATTAAGGTGTAGAAAGGCAAGAGTTAACATAAGTAGTAATACTGTTTGAGCAGGAGGTCTTCACTCAGGTAAGGTTAAGGTAATAGTAATCAAGATCGAGCTAACGAGCGTCGACTTAGCCTTCTAACACGAGACAAACAATAAGCGCATAGAGAATAATGACTTAATTAAATATAAGTTTTAACAAGGGGTTACTTACGGGTGGGATGCGTATTAGGGTTAGGAGGGCGCATGGGATGATGGTATGGGGTGCACGTAAGATGATGGTATGGGGTGCACGTGAGATGATGGAGCTCGTGCATCATCCCATGATGAACTCGTAGTAAGGAAACGGAGCTCATCGCAACGCATTGAGTTCTCAACCTAAGCTTCGTGGCATCACAATCTAACTCCCTCTAATCTAACTTTAAAATCTAATATAATCCTCTAATTAAAATCTAACTTGACCTCTAATCTAACTTAAAAATCTAATCTAACACGACCTCTAATCTAACTTTAAAATCTAATCTAATCCTCTAATTATAATCTAACACGACCTCTAATCTAACTTAAAAATCTAATTTAACACGACCTCTAATCTAACTTTAAAATCTAATCTAATCCTCTAATTATAATCTAACTCTCTCTAATCTAACTTTAAAATTTAATCTAATCCTCTAATTATAATCTAACACGACCTCCCGTCCACAGGTGCGCTAGTGAGGGCGAGGCCGCGCGGTACTTCGCGCACGCGCTCGCCCTGCGCGACGCCATCGCCTTCCTGCGCCGCAACCCCGACCTGGGCGACAGGCAGGGTGAGTGTAACCCCGACCTGGGCGACAGGCAGGGTGAGTGTAACCCCGACCTGGGCGACAGGCAGGGTGAGTGTAACCCCGACCTGGGCGACAGGCAGGGTGAGTGTAACCCCGACCTGGGCGACAGGCAGGGTGAGTGTAACCCCGACCTGGGCGACAGGCAGGGTGAGTGTAACCCCGACCTGGGCGACAGGCAGGGTGAGTGTAACCCCGACCTGGGCGACAG